TGGGTATAAATAAAAGGCAAGACTAGATTCAAACACAAAATGAAATCATATAATTAATATTGATCATCTTATTCATCATTTTTCAAATAAACTGAATTTGGAATGATTCATAAATTCCACCCCTGTACATGAAAATCACTTAAATAGTCCCAACTCTTCTTATCATTACTTTTGTAAAACACGAATGCAACAAAAATATTATTATCGGCAAATTTTAGCCTCCACTATAAAGATTAAAACTAGTATGACTCATGACACAATTAAATGATTTGTGGCGTATTTCAGAATATAAAATTTCTTATCTCCTTAAAGTTGAATAGTGGTGAAATAAGAATAAAAAGGTCTAGAGATTATTAAATATTCTAATTTATGTAGAATATAAAATTAGGAAGAGGAAGGTGTAGTGAAGTGAGGCTGGCCAGTTGAGGTCAAACAACGGTGCCACATTCTGCTATTGGGGTCAACACGTCTTTGAGTTCTGATAACTTCTGTAATGGGAAGATACACATAATGGGTATTGCAAATGCCTGTTGTTATACCACTGAACCCCGCAAATGCACCATGAACCTGCTCATGGAAATTATTAGAAAATAAAAAATTATATACAATTATTCCAACAATCATATAGAACATCTGAGCAATACAAAAAGCTAGTCAGCTATTCGATACAGCTAGTCACTTCATGATACCTTTGAATCCTGAATTATGTTTAGAAATCATCTCCAACCATTTGTTTGCTCGTGCTATTAATGCGCTAAACAGGTAATCACCTATAATTTGAGGGTGAGTCGGAGCCGCAGTTAAAATATTTGCACATAGGGTTCAGGAAATCATTGAAACATACAATATGCATGCATCAGCCTCCATACATTGAGTACACGGCTCTTTTTAGTTATTTTTTATTTTGTGTATAATTCCATTTAGTTAATGAACCAGGCCTCATGGCCCAGCTTATAGGATTTTTGCACCCAAATTAAAAGAGGCCTTGATAGTAGATAAATGTACTGCAACCAATTTATTCCCTTATGAAAGGTGCATTAAAGAGGAAATAGGCTTGGGAAATATAACGCAAAAAAAAAAAAAA